CTTCATATGCTCAGTTAAGTACTCTATTAGTATTGGTATCACTTGATACCTTTTTGACTACTTCATTTGATATCCATCATAATTGGAGGCATCCAGTTGTGTAAAATGCCACCACCACTCCTCCCCATCCAAGTGACTTTTACAAGTTTTTTTACGCACAAACATTTTACAGGCATTCAAATTATTTAATACATTGCGTTTGACTTCACCACACCACAGACTGTTTGGGTCTTAGCTGCTGCAGTAGCGGGCCAATTACACATCCCATTAAATTGCTTGCAGTGACTGGCTGCGAGCAAAACCATACCAAAGTCAATTTTTCTAGATCTGGATACAAACAGGTTCAAATGCAGGTATTTTCTGACTGGAGAAGTGTCAATACTACCTGATACTGTGTTATTTCAGATGATAAATTAAAGGTATCTAATACTGATACCCAGCTCTGAGGAATGTGTGACGGTTGCAACAACAGATTGTTTTCATTACCAATGAATCTGCTGATTATCGTAAATAACTATAGTAAAATGTCAAAACAGTGAAAGATTTTAAATCACAATTTCTCACAGCTGAAGGTGAAATATTTAAACTACTTTTTTCAGGGTGTCTACAGGTATCAGATGGTTAGAATTAATGCTTTTTAAGACCTGTTCAAGACCTTTTAACCAAATTTATGATAGAAAAAATCATGTCTTATTTATCTAAGCATTGCAGGTAGAGGTAAGTGTTATGTAGGACTATGGTTTTTAGAGTGAGTTAAGTCAATCCACATTTTGCCCACAGGTAAGTGCAAGTATGAAGTAAAATGACAATATTATAATTTATTTAAAGGCTGGTAAAATTACAAATGTGGACTTTTACATAGAAAGCCTTAATTCATTTTCACAAAAAGAAATAAAAAAAATGTCTAAACGAAATTAGATTAAATGTTTGTATTAGTTACGACCTCACAAACTTACATTTAAGACTATTTAAATACCTTTAAGGCCTTACTGTTGTAACACTGAATTTAAGATTTATTAAGGACCTGTAGATACTCTGTTTTTGTCAAACAGCCCAAAGGAACTTCAGTTTATTTTAGTACAAGAAAAAAGCAGATATCGCTTCCATTTGAGAAGCTGGACACAGATACTTTGTTTTAAAAAAATGACTCAATCATTTATTTAAAGAGACTGTTTTTATCGATTAATTGACTTTCAGCTCTTGTCTAAGTGGTAAAATACACAAAAATCTAAGAACTGAGCAACCCAGTTACTTATAAATAAATACATGACTTTGTATATATGTTTTTACTGTAAAAGGCATCCTGTAAGGAATACTAGAGTTTAGCCTCTCATACTTAGAGAACAGGGGATGTGAAGAGAAGCCACAAAGCTTCTAACTGGCTCTGTGACGTCTACTACAAATGGTATTCATGTTCACATAGGACTAAAACTTAACGACTGTACCAGCTTACTCAGTGTGGAAGCCTATGGTGTGAGCTGGCAGACTAAAAATCCTTTATGCACATAGGATAGGCCAATGTGTTTTGACTTTAGACAGTCATCATCAGGGTATAAAAAGATTTTTTTTTTTTTTTTTTTTTTTTTACCCAGTGTTGCACTCCCCTTTTGTTTCTCTTCTTCAGTGTTCATGTTCAGGTTTGAGTGTTTGTCTTTTCACTGAACTCATAAATGAATATTTTTTTTCCCTCCACCAAGGAGATAAGGTTTTCAGTTTGGTTTGTTTGTCTGTTCGTCAGCAGGATTACAGAAAATCTACTGGTCTGATTTTCATGAAACTTGGCGTAAGGATGTAGCAGGGGCCAAGGAAGAACCCAATACATTTTGAATTAAAGAAGTACAAATTATTTTATCACTTGTTAACAGTGTAAGATGAGGCATTGTGGATTTGTGTAGGTATGTGCTCGCTCAGTGTCTTTCTAGTTTTACTAAATTCTTGCCTCATATCAGATTTGTCAACTCCTTACACTCAGTTTCCATTTTCAGTCTGACACTGTGTCCACTCTGACCGATTTCCATTGGGAAAGGGGATTCGAATTTCCCTAAGCAAACACTAGAGTCCACACTGATGCGTTGCCATGTCAACCTACCTGATTTGTTTTTAAGAGTGACGCAGAGTAAGTATAACAAACTACGATGACGGGTGACACTGAGAAGACACGCTGATATAAAACTGCTTCGACAGCAGCGTTCAGCGGTGTGATTAGCGGCTATGGTGCTGACTGGATCAACTTTTATTTAAACCGAGAAACTGCTATTTCATGTCACACTGCCGCTCCTCAGTGGAGTGGGCGAATTCAAAGGTCTGGACCAAGTCAAACTATAATCCTCACTGTGTTATGAGTGAGCTCTCACCTGTCAGTTCCTGATCAGCGCTGAACAGGACCTCTTTAGGGAGTGTGAAACTCACACACATCATATCTTTGTTGGGTGCTACATTACGCACAAAATGCACAGAGCAGCAGCCCTTCAGTGGGAGCCCGACGCTGCGGGAGGCCCTCTCCACCACATCTGTCTCAGGCTCGTTTTCTTTGTAGAAGCCGTAGCAGTGCACTGTGGGTAGGTTCTCATCACAGGGAGACTCCTGGTCCAACAGGCCTCTGAATGCATCCAGGAAGTCCAGAGCTAAAGCAGGCAGGTTCATCACTATGTGAATGCTGGCTGTTCCCTTCAGCAACACGGGCAGCTCCTGCTTCACAGGCCCCTGGATGAACGCTCTGCCGTCCAGGTTAAAGGTTCTCACTTTCTTCTCCACCTTGTTGAGTTTGCAGTTGTGCTGCAGCCATCGGTGGGACTCCGGGTTGAGATCGTTGGCCAAGACGTTGGCGCCCAAGCGGGCAGCTGGAATGGCGAAAGGTCCAACACCAGCAAACACATCAAACACAGTGTCTCCACGTTTCACAAGCTGCACCACACGCTGGTGCTCTGTGCTCAGCCGGGAGTTCCAGTAGACACGAGAGAAATCAAACTCATATATCACCCCATTTTCTTTCACCTGCAGCACAAAGGTTTTATCAACCATCAGTCAATGATCAGATTAGATCTAAGAATGTCTGTACAAATGAACAGTCATATGATAGTGCATGTGAATCATTAAAATATTTGCACATCTGTGATTTAACCTACTTTGGCAACCATGTTCTCCTCTCCAGCCAACACCTCCATCTTGAAGTTGCGGTAAGTGGAGTCAATAATGTTTGTCTTATTGACCACACAGGTAACCCCTGGGTTTTTGTCCATGATGACTTGACCTGCAAACGGAGAAGACATGAAGTTAGCAATAAATATGAGTTCCTAAACCTTTTCTTTGTGAAACCATGATCCTTTAATGTTCCGAAAACTACACATTTATCAGACTTTCAGAGGCAAAATGATTGAGCTGATTAAAAAGTGTTTCAGCCTAAAACTGAACAATAGGGCACTGATAAAACATCAACATCACTTCCTCTTCAGAATTGATTGCTCACGTGACAGTAGATCACAGTTGAGCCTGCACACAAGATCAAAACATTATGCATTAAAGCTACATTGAGACCTGAAGTGTGTGCTTGAAACTTGACTTACTGAACATCCACTATGACCTGTATTTTTTGCAATGATAATTTTGAAAGCACACAGTAACAAACATCTAATTCAAACTGATATAGTGACAGATAAATGTGAGAATGATGTGAATTACATGCTATGGCCCTCAGTCACCACATCTCAACACTACTGAACAGCTATGGGAGATTTTTTAGCAACATGTGGGACAACGCTCTCCATCACCGTCATCAAAACACTAAATGAGGGGGTATTTTTTGGAAGAATGATGTTCACCTCCCCTGTAAACTTCCAGAGACTTGTACGATCTGTGACAAGAGGCACTAAAGCCAAAAGACAAATTATTATGGGAGGAATTTAAGAGATTAGGTCCAAAGTATACTGGAGGACACAGACTAGAGTCGATTAACTTGTGCTAAATCAGTTACTAGTAAGGGGAGGTTATATGAGTGAATGTGAGTCTCTGTAGTGTCTGACACAGCAGGTATTGAAACATTTTCCTTCCTCTATTAAACCTTATCATGGAGTTTCCTTTAATTCTGTACTGAGGCTATTGTCTTACAACATCTGTCTCTCACCTATGAGGTTCTTGTATGGGAGCTGGTGATCCCTCAGGTTCATGTGTGCAATGTGTCCCACCCGGCTGAACGCAGACGTCACGTCCTGACCCTGAGGCAGCACAGCCTCCAGCACCTCCTCACTCTTCAGGTTGTGGTAGGTGAGCCGCAGCTCATAGTGCTGCAGCTCCTCGGGGACACTGAATGACCTCAGAGCCTCAGCTTCAGCTTCACTGAAGGAGCTTGGTGAGAACACTCTGTGGGGGTCCAACAACACTAAACGAAAGTCACTACTCTCCTCTTTATCCTGCACCACCCTGGGCACCCCTGGGCGCTGGATGGTGGACTTTTTCAAGCTCTTTACCACTTTGTTTAAGACCCCAGTGGGCACCCGTAGAGCTGGGACAGTAATGGTCTGTGTGAAGGCGTCTTTGTCCAGAGAGGTCATACCCCGGACCTCTGGAGGGGGACGGTACAGCTTGGGCTCCATTATGGGGTTCACAGAAAAGCCAGGATAAGCTGAGGCTGGCAGTGAGGCTGCAGGGCGGAAGCTTCGGTGCACAGCGGCAGCTTTAATGTTACTTTGTGTTTGTATAAAGACCCTAGAGAGGAGCCTGAAATGACAGAAACATGGCGGTTACATAAAATAAAAGTTAAAAAATACATAACAAGTGTTAGAGAGCAATTTTAGGTTAAATAAACCGCTATTAACAATGAGAAAATCCACATTCAGAGCTCACCTCAACATCCTCCGCTCACAGGCATGCTTGAACTGCGTCATCAGTGTTCGACCAAAGCCGGCTGGTCATTGGGCGAACGAGCGGAGAGCCGCTCTCTGATTGGGCGGTCTCTCTCCTGATGCATTTAAGTGCGCCGGAACAGAGTCACATGATGTGGGTGATAAACAACAACAGCTATCAGCTGTAAACGTTGATAAGAGGAGAGTATAAAAGTGATTTATCAGAGGATGGTAACACAGCTCTTTATGTCGTCACGGTAACCGGAGCAGCAGACGTTTTGGCACGAGACAGAGAGATTGTTTCCTGTAGTTTGTGTCGTGAGTTTTGTAGAGGAGAAAATGAGCATCAATAGAAATGCAACCGCAGATTTATACAGGGAATGCGTCGCCCGGGACGTCGAGGAAAACGAAACTACACCTTTATTAGCAAATGTAAGTATTAAACAGCACCGTGTTTTTAACAGATAAGAAACAGCGCTTCAATCTTTATGTTTGAACTTCAGGAATAAGCAGCAGAAACTTTTATTACACAGTTTAACTATCTGTGAACAAAGTTGGCTGACATGTCAAAATGCTGCTTATGACTGACATCACGTGCTTTTTTCTGAAAACGTCTTAGTTTCCTTTCTGCTTTCTGTCTCTGTCACCATGGTATTTCAGTGATTCATTTCCACAGATGATATAATCTGTATTTCTATTTCATTTTTATGCAGATGCCACTTATCATTTGTAGTTTTAAATTGATTTTACACAGATATTCAGTTTGCTCATCATGATCAGCAGCCTATAAAACAGTTACATAATGTGTTCTGCAGCTCTGAAGGTACTTTCCAAAGTCTATTTGATGTTTCATTTAAGCCTGAAGAACACCAGAACCAGCTTTGAAAAGCTTTTTAAATTTTTCTGTACTTGTAGAATTTAAACTTCTCCCCAGGTTGTTGAAAATGTCTAAATTCTCAACAGCATTACATAAATCATAACCCTGGTGTCCTTAGTGACGCCACATCCCAATCAAGACATATTTTGATCATCACTGATTGTGGTAATTTTTGGAGATGGCCCATTAAACACTAGTGACTGATTCTGTGAGCTCAAAGAGTTTTTGTTTCATATATGACTCTAAGTCTTGGGTTTGGCATCGAAATGCTTGCATATTTGAGTTAGTAGTTAGATAGTGTTGTCACAAATATAAATTTATTGATACATGTCAACTCTGAATATTTGAAAAAGTTTCAGTACTCATTTTCCAGCTGTGTTTTCTTGCTCTCTCTTATTGTCACTGTTTACTACAGTCATTCTGCTCATCTCTGCCACTAATAATAATTCAACCTGTATACCCTCAGTGTAAATTTCTGCCCACGGTATAAAAAAGGGTATTGAATACTGATAATTTTCATGGTGTTGTATTGAGGTTACAAATTCCAGTACAGTGAAGTCTCCATGGTAGCTTTGAGTGTGTACCAACAGTCCAGTACATTTAGCATGTCACTGTGAAAGATACTGGCATGTTGCATGTTTCTCTAATGTTGAAAAAAAAAGAATAAATGGTTCAGATTTTCAAAGCAACATGGGGCTGTTTTTAAGTATAGGATGTGCATTTTACATTTTTTTGGGGTGGCTTTTCTCTTGAATATCCTTAGCATTACATATTCTGAAGAAGAAGCACAGATGCAGGCGCAGATGCAGATGTAGAGTTTCTGCGGGGCTCATCAGTGATAATGAGTTATCTGACAGTGTGTAGGTGGAGGTCCACACTGATCAGTCAGCGTCATTCACACCAGCTCAGAAAGGAAGTGGTGAGAATGGAAACGCCCTTGTGCTTAATTTGATGGCACATTGTCATGTTAAGTCAACTTAATTACTCATTACTATAAAGCATTATATAAAGCATGTCATCTAGATTAATCCTATCACCAATCTGCAGCTAAGCACAAGACATAAAAGAATAGAAAGCAGGTGAGATAAGCAGTGATAGGGACATGTTTACACCACTGTGACCCCAAACAGGAATGAGCTGGTGATGAAACATCTTTATGAATACATTACTATACAATAATAGAATAGTACATATTTATTTTAAAAGTCACATTTATAGTGTCTTCAAATCCATGTAAATGAATTTGATACATTATAATTTTAAATGGCAACCAGTCTGTATTTCCATCCAGGGCTGGGCAGTATGGAGAAGGGTTGTAGGGTTGAGTTTTGGGGCTTTTACAAAATATTTGCAAAATGAGATTTCTGATAAATAATGATCAGTAATGTGGATATAATGACTAAGGGTGCAAAGGCAAATTATAGAGCCGGATAGGACAGTCTGTTAAATTCATAAAATGACATAACTGTACTGTAATTCAGCCTTTAAAACCAGGAAAAGACTAGGATATTACAATATCCCAAATCTAAAATGATATCTAGTCTCATATCAAGATATCGTCATATTGCCCCTTCCTGTTTCCACTCGGTGTCATAGTTTACTTCCTGTCTTTCCGTACTGTAACCCAGGGTGAATCTGACTCAGCAGCCTGCAGGTCAATTCAAGCTTGTTGTGACACTGACACCAGAGTTGCCACTCGTTCTCTCCAGGATATCCCCTATTAGAGAGGTCAAGCAGTTTGGGCAGCTCCCCTTATCCTGAGCTCAGGCAGCTGTCCCACCGCCAGCAGCTCAAATCCCACCCCATCCATTCCCATTTCCATTCCCTGATCCTACATGCCACTGCAGTGTTGTTTCATGACATCCATCATCAGGGCCGGCCAGTTGTTCTTAATACTGTCAGGAGCAATTCTGCTACAGCTCTAACAAATATAATCAGGTTGCTTCTGCTTCTTATGTCCTCACACTCGTTTTAAGTCATTTATCCACATGTTGTTTCTGTGCTGTGTGTGCAGGGACCAGTGCAGAGCAGATCTAAAGGAGCATCGTTCGCCTCCTCTGTGTTTAACCTGATGAATGCCATCATGGGCAGCGGTATACTCGGTCTAGCTTATTCTATGGCCAACACTGGAATAGCTGGGTTTTGGTAAGAACACTCTCATAAAACCTTTTTACCACAGTGCTGTTTAAGTATCCTACAGAAATTTAGCTACATGTGCACTAATTTCCTACTCTGTCTCTCTCTAGTATCCTGTTAGTGTTAGTGGCTGGCCTGGCTGCGTTCTCTATACATCTCCTTCTGAAGCTATGTGACCAAACAGGTGAGACAAGAACAATGGAGACACAATCTAACTGTAGACAATCAGCTCCCTGTGAGTTTGTCATGATTAGATTAGTATTCAGGGAAGTAGTTGATATGATGCTATCTCTCTGTGTCTTTATTTCCTTCCTAAGTGAATCAGGTGACATGTAAATACTGTTCAAAATAATCAAAGAAGCCATGAGATGAGATAAGAAGAGATAACAGGGGGTTGCTTTTTATCAAACTGAAGGTGGGAACATCCTGTCCTGATGTTTGGTCATCATTGAGAGGAAACTCCAAATAGATTTAAACGTTAAAGTGTATTGATTTGATTGACTGCTTGATTGATTTGATAATTTAAAATACCAGGCACTCTGGGTCTTCAACAGGAGGTCCACAACCCCATTCATTAAAAACACCATTTAATATACAGTACACAACATAAATGATAGGCTAAGTATTACCCATGAATCAGTATGCAATCATGTGAGCTAGCTAACGCTAAATCACTGTGCAGCACTTATCCAAAACAGCGAGGTGAACCAGGAAGCTAACATTTATGTACCAATGAAATATAATGGCCAGTTAGCTGTATCATTATTCCAAGTGTATGGATGTTCCTGTGAGCCACAATTTTGTAACTTTTCAGTTAAGAGACTCTGACACACCGCCCACCTCAGACACAACTGACAGGCTAACACACCTCACCATGCTACAACTGCTGCTGACTTAGTAGTTACAGGCAAGCACAAGCAAGAGAAGACCCAAAAATATACAGACAGTTATCTCAAGTGCAACTTCATTTCATTCATTAAATGTAGCAGGCGCTGCCTGACTTGTCAAAATGCTGCTTATGACTGACATCACATGCCTTTTTCCGAAAACTTCTTAGTTTCCTTTCTGCTTTCTGTCTCTGTCACCATGGTATTTCAGTGATTCATTTCCACAGAGGATATAATCTATATTTATATTTAATTTTTATGCAGATGCCACATATCATTTGTAGTTTTAAATTGATTTTACACAGATATTCAGTTCGCTCATCATGATCAGCAGCCTATAAAACAGTTACATAATGTGTTCTGTGGCTCCAAAGGGAGTTTCCAAACTCTGTATATTCAGTTCCTCTCTTTCATTTAGATTTACCTTAATTGTTTTGCCTAAAAACAGTTTCATTTTGAGCCTGAAGAACACCAGAACCAGCCTTAAAAAGCTCACTAAGTTATTTTTCTGTATTTGTAGAAGGTAAACTTCGCCTGAGATTGTTGGAAATTTCTAAATTCTCGACAGCATTACAGAAAACATAATCCTGGTGTCTTCAGTGGAAGCTACATCCCAATCAAGACATGTATTGATCATCACTGACTGTGATAGTTTTTGGGGTTGGGCCATTAAACACTAGTCATTGATTCTGTGAGCTCAAAGAGTTTCTGTTTGATATATGAATCTAAGTATTCCGGGTTTGGCATCAAAATGTTGTCATATTTGAGTTAGATAGTGTTGTCAAAAATATAAATTTATCAAAAATATGTCTACTCTGAATATTTGAAACAGTTTCAGTACTCATTTTCCACAGTATCATCTGCTCTGTCTCTCTGTGAGCCGACAAACGTTGAAGACTCCCGCAGTACACAAATGTGTTTAATACAGTCACATGACTTACTTCCATTAAGGTAGCAGTACCAGAAGAAGGCCGGCAGGAAAAGGAAATTACATGTGTGTATGATGCTCTTGTCCCATTTTTCCAGTAATACACTTACAATACAAAAACATGAATGATAATCAGTCAAAACTTGTCCTGGAATGGATCATAACTTATTTATGTAGCACCTTTTCAAAAAAGAAGTGCTTTGAGAGACAAAGCAAAAGCAGAAACAGGATACTGAGAAGGCAGTATAGCAATGGAAAGCCTACTGATCATATTTAAGACAAAATTAAGGTCAAGTTAAGATGAGGTTACACAAGGAGACAAAAAGTTGCCAGTGGCAATTAAAGCAACAAAACAACGAAATAAAAAGCAAGTCCATAAAGAAAAGTGATGAGAAGTTTCACTGTACCAACGTACTCAGCGTCCATTTTCAGCTGTTTTTTAAAACTATTTGGAGAATATTTGGGATTTCATTTCCCTCCTCCCCCCATGTAGAGGAATGCACTTCTCCCTGCTTCAGTATTTATATTGGGTTGTCTCAGATTAGACACACTAGCCCGTGTATTCAGGCTATGAGAGTCATGAACATACTGAAGATACCTAGTAAGTAATTTGGACATAGACCTTGTAAATCCTTATGTGGCTCCAGAGAGAGATTCTGATAAATTACCTTTTAAAAACCCTTTACTTGGGTCTGTAGGGATGCACGATAGGAGGAAAATATGCAGTAACATTGTTGAATATTGCAATAACAATATTACTTGTGACAAAAAAATACAAGTCATAAAAAATAAACAGATACTAAGGGTACTCAGTTCTGCCTTTCTGCTGCTCAGCATACTGCTAAAATACAACAGATTGCTTGTGGATTTTTTTCAAATGACAAAAAAGGAAATTTTTTATTGGACAATTGAACGTTGAACTGAACACAAAAGGCACAATTTTTTAAAAGAAAAAGGATGATAGTTAAATTTTAAAGTGCACTTTTTTACCGATACCCTCTCTCAACTAACTCAAAAAATTGCTAAATGCAACACCGCAGTCTTTCATGATGTGTTTATCGCTCAACGACATATTGTGCAGCCCTAGTCTGAATACTACAAGTTTGAAAGTGAAAAAAATTCTGGGGGTGTGGAGTAGAGCTGCATCGATTAGTCGACTAAACAATTAGTCAATCAAAAGAAAGTTAATTACTAACTATCTTAATAATCAATTTATAGTTTCCAGTCTTTTTTCAAGCAAACATTTGCTGTTCTACCTTCTTAAATGTGAGAATTTGTGGCTTTTCTTCGTCATCTATGATCGTAAGTGATGTATGAAGTAGTAAATGTATGATAGTCTTTGGGTTTTGGACTGCTGGTTGGACAGGAGCAGCAATTTGAAGCCCTCACTTTTGGCTCTGGGAAGTTGTGATGAGCATTTTTCATTATTTTTTAAAACATTTTATAGACTAAATGATTAATTGTGCAAATAATTGGCAGATTACTAGTTGCAGTCTTAGCGTGGAGTTAGGAAGCAGTGAGCTAAGCAGACGGTTTTAGCCTGCTCCTCGTCTCTGATTGAGTCGAACAGCTCAAGACTGTAGTCACCACCATTAGTGCAACATATCTGAATCTATGACTTAACTGTCTGCAGTCGAGTTGCATTATGGGTAATGTAGGCACCGGGTTTCAACAGTTGAGAAGAATACCTGGACAAAAAGACAATGTGTCTGGTTTTGCTGCATCAATTTTGTTTTAAACTGTTCATCCAGACTCTGTGGAGCACTCTTTTAATTGGGTCTGATGTTTTTCACTTGACTCTCTTAGGTATCAATTCATACGAAGCGGTCGGAGAGAAAGCCTTGCAAAAACCAGGAAAAGTAAGTGTTGTGTTTTGGATTAGTGTGAGTTTGCCCTGTCAGAAAAACAGGGCATTTACTCACTTACATTTTCAACATTACCAGAAACCTCTTCGCTCTAACAGCCTTTTCAAATTTCTTTTTAGATTCTGGTTGGAATTTCTATTCTTGTCCAAAACATTGGTGGTAAGTCAGCTCCCATTGCACTGCACAGTTACACACATTTCTTTGACATGTTGGTCATAAACCGATTTTGTGGTTTCTTTAGAAGCAGAGTGTTGAAGAGGGGCTGCAGGGTCAGACTATGGCCAGTATGTTTTGGAGGCAGATAGTGCCTCCTACTGGTGATCAGGAGCGCCTGCGCTCAGGTTCACTATCCCTCCATCCTGTGAGGCTATTATCTGGATTCCCTGATAGCCTTTGACCCTGCAGCCGCTGTCCTCTCAGCCCGCTCCCCTGGGCTTGAAACCTGACTTTACGCCATATCGATCACTGATGGTAAACCCACCCAGTGTTGAGTAACCTAATGGGACCCCTCCCTTCATCCACCCCACCCCCCTCACATCTCTTTCTCTTTGCTACTGCCATCTCCGCTGCCTCGGCCACAAACTGTGCTTCTCAGACAGCGGAGAGCGGAGGTGATCGCTCCTCTGCAGTCATTAGTGACACGGCTGAGTGGATTACTGCCGTGCCCTCTGGTATGTTTGTGGTTTTCCCAGCATGGGGCAGTAACGTGTGAGAGTGTGAGAGCCAGCACTCCAGCATGCATCACTCTCCACCCCGGGCCCCTTTTATAAGAGTGCAATTAGCCTCACTCTGGGTAAACATTCATCTGTACTGCCAAAGGCTGATGGGCCAATTGACCTTAATTACTGCCCAGCCCAGGGCTCTCACAGCCTGCCTGTCCCCTCACTCTTAATGAAATGAAAGTGGCTCTGTCTTATGCTGAACACTCTCTCCCACTGTCTGCTGACCACACACAGACGGTTTACATCAATATTCCTTGAATTCATGCTTATTATTAAAATATGTTTCCCTGCCACTTGGCCAATAACAATCCTTTTTCTTCACTCAAGGGCCCTTTTTTGTTTAGAGATGTAAGTATTGGACCCACCAGGAATCCCCATGGAAGTGTTGATGTGCTTACAGTAACCAACTGCATGAAACTAAACCATTGCACCATGCCTGTTGTGTGATCCTTGTCAGTGTGTCTTTATGGGCTTGTGTGGTTGAAATCATTCTTTTGTTTTTGTGGTGCGTTTAAATTGCAGTGAAACTTTTTGTCTAAAGACACTAAATCAACCACTGCCTCAGAATAACCTTATTGACAGATCGTAGTGTGCTTATAATGGCATTAGTTATTCAGGGAGTGAGTGTCCTTGCGTCTGTGTGGGCTCGAGGGTTATTGGAGGAATTTTCTTTCATAAACAAATACAGGATCTGAGGGATTATGGTCTAGGCTTATTTAACGGCGAGTGTAAGACCTGCCCCCGGGGCAAAGATGCCCCAGCTAACTCCTGCTCTGCCTGGCTTCACAAATTTAAATCCCTTAACATTATCTCCCTTTATGACTGACCACACAATCGGCCAGAAACGTCCTCTCCACCTCGTCTCCATCTCCCTTTTCCCCATTCTCCTCCTGGTGTTTTTGGGGCTGCTATGACCCTCAGGAAGTGACCCCGATCCCCTCTCTGATTGGCTGTCCGTTGGAAGGATGTTGGAGCCCGGCGGAGGCTGATAATATCCTGTTTCCTCTTGAGGTGGAGCAGTGGGAGAAATACCTGGATTAGCGTCAGAGATCATTATTGTTAGCCTTCCTCCCCCGCCTCACACTTTCTCCATCCTGGCTGCTACTCCTGGTCTCCAGCAGTTGGAAGATCTGCATAATGTCTGCTCCTCTGCACCGAGGGCTTTGCTGGTGATCCCCTTGAGCTGCTTGCCCCACCCATCTGCATTAACTCAGAGCTGTGGTTCCCCCCCTCCACCCTGCCTTCATTTCCCTGTGCTGGAAAACACACACCATCCTTGCACAGCAATTTAGAAGTGCTTGCGGCCACATAGAGTCATCTGCTGTGTTTGTGATTTAGTCGTTTGGCATGATTGTTTATTTTATTTTAAAAACAGACATTCTCTGAATCTTTTTTTCCTCTCTCCCCTCAGCCATGTCATCCTATTTGTTCATCCTGAAGTCAGAGCTTCCTGCAGCCATCAACAGCTTCGTGAGCTCACAAAGCGAAGGGTGGGTACATCAGCTCCCTTCCTCGCCAATAAGGAAATTCGGTTCAAAATCTGTCACAGCTGCGGCTAAAACCGAGCCATTCTTTTAGATTAGCTAAACTAAGATAACGAATGAGTCATTCCTGTTCCCATGATGTTGTAGATTATACCTTTGGCCTTCAAATAAGTCAAATTTGACACTCGTGCACCACAAAGCTACAAAAACTTAGCCGGGCAATGAGAAACGTATGAATAATGCGGTGGGAGAAGATCTCTCACTAAACCACAGTACACTACTAACACTTTGTCTGTGAGTGACTGGAGGGAAACTGGTGCTCTGTAGCCTGAAGCATGCCCAGAGGAAATGTATTTACGACGTAGAGCCATACATCACCCATCATGAGCAGCCCGTGTCTTTCATTGGCCTACATGGACGAGCCTCACAGAGACGTCCCAGGCCAAGAATGTAACTTCTATCACTTTATTATTGGCCACACTGGTTTAAGTGAGCGTTGTAGCTGCTCTCAGCCCAATCCGTCAACATCTGAATCTTCCACACACAGCTGCTTTGTATTAGTGCTCTCCTTTCACCCCCAAATCTCTCGCACATGTTCCCCGGAATCAGACTGATACAAGGGGATATCAGTTTTGCCATTCTAATTACAGCTCGCTGCTGAGGGAAACAAAACATTTCTGTTAATGAGTGGCTTTGGGATGTTAACAGACACACGCTTGATTCCATCAAAGCCCAAATAACCGACTTGTTTTATATTAAAACGCGTTTCTTTTTTCTGGCTCATTTATCATAACGCAGCAGAGTGAAAACACAGTTGTGCTCAATCTTTTAGTCTTTGTCTTTGCTAATGGACTGTGTGTCCTGTTTAGGTTTCTCCCATCAAGTCTCAGCTCAGGCCAACGATGCGGACAGCTGTGGGTTTGTGCTGCGTTAGTCAGATTTATGCTGATCTTCAACACTATGTGGAGATTGACTCATTGGCAGTCATACTCCAACCTTAACTGAGAGCTATCCTGCATCTTGTTAGAGCGTGAAATGTTCCACATTTCATGGGTCTTCTAGGTATCCTGCGCCTTTACAGTAAGCCTCTAGCCTCCTGAGAGTGGATCCTAGTGGCGGTGGAGATTTTTATACATCCCCGTGTGTGCATAACGTTCTGTAAAAGTGGAGAAGGGGGTTAGCTAAGCTGTGGTCGAGTGCTTCAGCTAAACTTAGGTTGGAGTAGAAGTGATTGGACAGGAGAGAGTCAGGGTCAAAACGGAGGTCTCCCTGACATCCAGTTACAGGGCAGAAAACAGCGTAGACGCAGAGACAAATCCATCAGCGCCTATGGTAACGCCACAGCTGTGAAACTGCCAAACAGGGGTCAGTGGGTGTTGATGTGGTCAGAGCAGGTGCTGCTGACTGTGGGAGCCCCATAAAGAGTAGTGGAGCCAGTCCCTCATGACCTCACGCTGCGGTCCAACATACAGCAGCACCCTTCCCACCCGACCCCGACCCCAGCAGAGCCGGCATGCCTTCCACATGTGTCACCTCGAACACTGCCCCCCTTCCTCCTCCTTCTCCTCCACAAGCTCTCCAATCCCGAATAAACCGCCAAGGCTATTCCTCAGCAAAGGAAAATATTATTCCCCCTCTCCGAAAACCCGGCAAGTGAAATGTGGTCTCATCTGACGGAGCGACACAACGTTTGCATGTGAATTACATAATTGTTATGGTTTGCAAGAACTAAAGCCCTTAATTCATACCACATGATGAATCTGTCGCTCTGTATTTGAGCACGAAATGGAGACAAATTTCCAGAGTTGGTCCCTTTTACGGCTCCGAAGATTCGTCTCTGTCACCCTGTGTCATCGCCAAGACCAGGGAGATGATGATGGGAACTGTGGCTTGATTCAGCTTCACACGTTAATTATTCATGTCCACTTGTTTTCCAGATATACCTGGTATGAAGACGGCAGGTTGCTTCTGATCCTTGCCACACTATGTGTTGTTCTACCCCTGGCAATGTTGCCTAAAATTGGTAAGTACGTGGATCAAGTGGTATCTTGATTTGCTGCCCTGAGTGGTTTGAATCGTTGTGTCTCACCCAGTATGTCTCTCACCTTTACAGGCTTCCTGGGCTACACCAGTAGCATTGCCTTTTGCTTCATGCTGTACTTCGCAATTGTGGTAAGTTGAAATATACATCTTCAAAAACATATTTGTTTATGCCTCCATGCTGGCGACAACTGTGGCTGAAGGGATCATGTTTTCAAGTTGTCTGTACATCAGTCTGTCCTATTTTATGAACATGTTACCTCAAACTTTGGCTCAAAAGCACACTGAACTAATTAGATTTTGGGGGTCAAATGTCACTGTGACTTCACAAAACTCCAGAATTCAGACATTAATTACGACAAAATTTCCCACACGTCTAATAGAAGTGAAGTGATAACATTTTATGTCCAAAAGGTCAAAGGTCAACTTCACTATGACATCATAATGTTCTGCAAAAACACTTTCCTGGCCATTATTAATATCAGCTTTGGCTATCACACAGAAGATTTAGAGTCCCACAGGCTCAAATAAACAGACTGAGGAACTAACTGTATTAAATCAGAGTATGGCTTCTAAGTAGCCTCAGTTTATCCACTCCACTGCATCTACTTTTCGTAATGTCTGATGTGATTTGTGGTGTTTGTAATATAGTTTTGTTGTTTTGTCAAATGTTGTTTTGTATTTATGTGAAACACCTGACGTCCTGAGATGCAAGACAAATCTGAGATTTCTTTCCGAAATCAAATTAAATCAAATTATTCAACATCATAACCGAGGAACAGAAGGGAAGACATTCGGTCCGATAGTAAATTGGTGACTCTATTCTTGGGTGTCCACCATGAACTGACTGTATAGATTTTCTATGCTGCTGGGTTGAAGATGTGTGTGTGAAGCATCCATGTTTTAGAATTCGTAGCTTCTTTACAGCAACATCCATATTTGAAGAATTGTCTGCTGTCATCGCTCTGTATAAGTCTGGACAGACATGGGTGTGAACTGTAACTCGACTGGTTGGTGGAGGCATACAACCACAAGATGGTTTTAGTTTCCTCAGCTTTCCTGTTGTTGACATGTTGTGTTGTCTCCTCTCCAGGTTGTGATCAAGAAGTGGTCCATCCCCTGCCCACTGCCTCAAAATATGACAATCTCAGTTGCCGTCCAGGTAACAGCAACCCCAGTTTCCTTCTGTTCTAGTCCACGTGCACACAGACACACAAAAATAAGATACCGCAGGTCTGAGGTAGGTAGTCTGGATCAGACGGTCATGGCCACAGGCGTATGAGGAAAACCCAGGAGACTGAGTTCAATGATTATGTCAGCTTTGGCTGATGAGGACCAGAGAAGGCTGCAGAGAGCTGTGTATGGTGAATGATGCCAGTCCTGAGGGGAAGGAAGTTCAGGTGACCTTGCATCAGTCTGGAAATGACCTCTGGCCTTTTGGAATTATACAGACCGCAGTACAGCTTCAGACCTGGCACGGTTGTTTTCCCTTTAGCTCCAAAGCCAGGCTGTGGAATCTAGCTTCATGTTTCCTTCATTCTCAGCAGCACTGCAGAAGTCATCTCCTCTCAGAAATAACACGCACCCTCTTCTCTCCTTGTTTCTCCAGCTATCAAATTCCTCTGACGCAGAATGCACACCCAAACTCTTTGTCATCACCAGTAAGGTAGGTGTATGAAACCAGCCTTTTTCCTCTAAGCTGCACATGCAGGACCCGTGAGGTGGCAGGAAAACGGTGTGACTTGTCACCAGCAGACAGAACAACTTCTCACTAAGTTTGGGCTGTATGTGTAAGGATCGCGGGTGCACTGTGCAGCTGCCACTCATATTTATGTTACACTTAAAGGGCATATGTACATTCAGAATTACACAAAGCACATGTTTGGTCCAGATGTTAAAACCATAGACTGTATTAAAGAAGTGGACGAAGCCACTGTTACATCACACATTGGTTCATGGACTAATGTTTTGACGCCTTGAGTTCGGCCCTTTGGCCATCGACATTGGTTTTTTGAAGCCAGATGTGAACATATTTGTATGAGACGATGGCATTGCTCTCCTCTATTCTGATTGACAGGTTGCTGTGGCAGCGACCTGTCAGTCATACCCTGCTTTATCGTCTGTTTTACTCTAAATGGGAGCATAGTTTACAAAATGAACATCATGCTGTATTAAAGACGACTTGAAACTTGCGATTGAGAAAATAAATTCATTAGGAAAATGTTTCCTGAGGTAATAAATCACGTGAAACGTAGGGTTATTTTCTCATTGACTTCTATAGAATTGGACTTCCTCTGCAACCAAAGACTGTAAAAAACAAAATGGATGTAGTCCATTGGTTTGTGGACTCCCATTTTGAAGCTTTGAGTTCGGCATTTTGGCTGTCATCATCTTGATTTTTGGAGCCAGACGTGACCATATTTGGGCAGGAGGCTGGCGCTGTGGAGGAGCGAGGGGTGGATCTGAGGGCTCCATCTGCAGACAGCCTTTCACTCAAAGTGGCCCCAACCTTACTTATGCTTAACTTTAAGTCTAAATAAAAAAAGTTAATGGTGATTTATGTAAAGATGTACCCCCGTACAGTTGTCATGAAGAGGGAAATTAGCTTTAGAGATCAAAACTATTTTTTTAACCAGACTGTAAACATGTTTATTTCCCACTTAAATTTGGGCATTTTTAACATGAGGGTCAATGGGGACTGACTCACTCTTGGAGTCAGCCTCAATTGGCCATTCAGAGAACTGCAGTTTTTGGCTCTTTTTTCAGCCCCTGTAGTTGCCACTTGTTCGCAACCAGTGAAGTCGCCCCTTGCTGGCAGTTAGAAAGACTGCAGGTTGAAAGCACTTCCACCGGCTTCATCCACTTCTTGTATACAGTCTGTGGTTTTAACGCAATGTTTTGCAAGAAGATTCTATAAACTCTCAACAGTATTTAGTGATATATATTTCCATCCATTTACTCGGGAAAGTTCCTGAACTTTGCATCGTCACACTCTGCTCCCCAGATGATAATTAACCATGACACAAATCACACCTCGTCCCACCTAACCCCTCACTCCTGTGTACAACTGTAAGCTGATAGCTTGTTAATGACGGCTGTGCTCTGATGTATGTTGCAGAGTGGCTACGCCATCCCCACCATGGCCTTCTCCTTCCTGTGCCACACGGCTATCCTGCCAATCTACTGTGAACTGGACCAGTGAGTACTGCAGCCTCTCACCTTCACGTGACTGCTCAGTTTAAGTCACTGAATCTACTGTCCACCTGCCAAGTAAACATGACACTCAGTGAATGTGTCCTTGTGTCTTTCAGACCTTCAAAGTCCAAGATGCAGAACATTACAAATGTCAGTATTAGCCTCAGCTTCCTGGTTTACCTCGTTTCTGCGCTGTTTGGGTACCTCACCTTCTACGGTAAGCCTGCAGTGACACACTTACCTGTAACTAATGCCTGTAGTTACTTTTCCAAGCCCTGCCATATCTGTGTGCACTGTCCCCTCACTCTATCCTTGTCTCCTGCCCACAGCTCACGTGGACTCTGAGCTGCTGCTTGGCTACGACAAGATTATGCCTCATGACATCATGGTGATGGTGGTTCGACTGGCCATCCTGTTCTCCGTGTTGCTGACTGTTCCCCTCATCCTCTTCCCTGTGAGTACACTGACACCCTAATATTCTTTTAACACAGGTATCAAAGACTATAGTGGTTAGTAAAGTTAACTAAAACAAGACTGAAACTAGATGTAAAAAAAAAAAAAACATTTTCGTTTCTTGAAATAAAAATAGAAACTAGACTTTAGAAAAAAAACTAAAACTAATTGAAATGTTTATTATGTACTTACAAAACTAACTAAAATAAAAAAATACAGGAAATGCCTTTAGTTTTAGTCTTTGACAATGTGGTCAAATTTGTCGACACAGTAAGCATGAGGAGATGTATAATATTGATTGAACCTGGGATGTGTATGGAATGAGAACTTCTTAATTCTTGCCCCTCACAAATACCCCATGTATTATAATAAAAGATGTGTGTGTGTATGTATGGCACCCCTCGTCATGTCCTATGGTGGTAAAATCTATCCTCTGACTTGCATGTATCAGTTATCAGTTAAATTAAATCCTATGAACTCATACTTTTAGACCCCTTTATAAAAAAATCTGTCTTGATTGTTATTTATTTACTTATTTTCGTGGTCTTTTTCCTTCTTTATGATTTGGAACTCCAGTATTGATATGTCAAGTAATTAATTGATTAAATAACTAAATAATTTTAAATAATGATAACAATAATAGATGTCTAAAACTTATACTGAAACTAATTAATTTTTTTTAACATTTTAAACACTAAAAACTAATATACTGATATTAGCCAACCCACACTAAAAACTGACTGAAACGAACTGAATTGAAACCAAAAATTAAAAAACAAAGCAAAAAAAACTCTGAATGGTACTTTGCTCATTCCTTATTTTGGAATATTTACTCAATTCTATGAGATTACTTAAAAACAAGAAATGCTTGAAGTTGTTGCACTTGTGTAACAGAACTTCTGATGTAAAATTAAGTTTTATTTTGTTTATCGAGTCCTTGCTTTGTATGTTTATATCACTGCTTTTTAATGGTTATCCAGTTTATAACTTAAAAACATTTTTGATTGATTATTTTAGCAGAGCTAGATTTGTTTTTCTTTTGTAACTTTTTTATTTACATGTATTTATAATGCTGAATTTCATATTAAATGTATGTCTGTACCTTAGCTCAGATCCTGTTATGCAATTAGAAATAGATTTACTTTTTACTACCACCAACAAGTTCTTCATTCTAGTCCAAACACCACTCCAGTTTCCCTCTTCACTTATCTGACATTTGGTCAGAATGATTAACACTGCACATCTTCTATGAATATGTTTGGTTAGACTGAGCTTTGTTTGTGTGTGTGCTCCAGGCCCGTAAGGCTGCGACCCTGCTGCTGTTTGGAGGCCGACCCTTCACCTGGCTGGTCCACATCACTTCAACAGTAATCATCCTGAGTGCGGTGCTGCTGCTGGCCATCTTTGTGCCTGATATCAGTCATGTGTTTGGAGTAGTGGGTATGTGATGCTTATTATATATGTGAAAGGTCTGTATTGCTAGATATTATTACATTTTAGTAGAGCAATAGTTTCTGCTTAACTGTGACCTTTGACATTATTCTGTACAGCAGACATTAGACGCAGCCAAGCTCTCAGCCAAGATGTCAATATTTTGCAATTATTGATCGTGGTGGCTAAAATCACAGAATCTGCTCGTACATAATTAATGGTGCAGTCCTGCTTGAACAGTTTATGAAGCTGCTGTTCTCAGAGATGTGCTGCAGGCTGTCTGTGCAATTGAAGTGACTTTCCTGTTTCTTTCACCAGGATCCACAACATCCACCTGCCTGATGTTTGTTTTCCCCGGCATTTTCTACCTCAAGATCAACAGAGGACCCCTCAGATCCTTCAACTCCATTGGGGTAACTACACACTGATGTATATCTAAATTTTGGGGGGGGGGGGGGGGTTATAACCATTTCCTTTAAGTAATGGTGCTAACTGTGTTGTCTCTGCTCTTTGTTTCTCTAGGCTGTGCTTCTGGTCATCTTTGGTCTCATTATGGGAATCCTCAGCCTCTCTACCATTGCTTACACATGGGCTCGTGCCTTCTAACCCCTTTCCCAAATTAAGCACAACAGCAACGAAAGGGGAAAGCATGCCAAAGAAACTAAATAAAAACTGGATTAAAAAAAAAAGGGAAGAGAGATGATAATCAGCATCACCTCAGGCAAAGTATTTATGGCAAAGTTGTTCTCAACACTAGACTTGTATGTGTTTTTGTACTTTCTTACAAACATAGCTCAAACTCAGCACATAGAGCTAAATGAAGTGAGGACTTTAAATATTCTACCCGCTGATTTTTTATTTTTATTTTTTAAATGTCTTTTTACAAGATGACTTTCAGACAATAACCAGGGCAAATCTTTACTTTTTTAGTATACCTGGCACAAAAGATTTATTGTGTCAGAATGTCACAAAAAAGTGTGAAGTAAGTTGCCCATTATCTTTAAGTTCATTGTATGTCCTTCATTTTTATTTTCTTAAAGCCCTTGTATTGTTGTATGTGGATGATCATGCACCTTATGTATACCAGTCTTCTAGCATTTTAAAATGCTGTTGACTAAGTCTGAGCCGTAAATTTGTCACGTTTACCGTTTTTTTGATATTTTGTTTATAGAATTTTTCAGTTGTACATGCACAATCACTTGTTTTCATTAATTGTTGTTTACACATATAACACAGTTTATTTACCACTTTGTTGTTTGTGATTTTTTCTTTTAAACCTGTTTATATTGTTTATTAAGTGTACTGAATGTAGGTAGTGTTACTGCTGCTACTGATCGGTGCTTTGGCCTTTTAATAAAAGGGAAACTGTTTATGTACTGACATGTCAGTTTGCTCATTCAATCACCAACCTGTCGTTATTAGTGCTGTGGAAAGCTCATCAGTCTAACATGTCACATTCATGGCTGTGCATTTGATTGGCAGGCACAGTATTGACGCTGAGACCTGCTCCTCAGCGCTGTGCTGTGGGTTCAGCCTGCAGCTAATGAAAGCCACATGCTTGGTACGTTTCTAATCATGATGCTGTTTAGATTGTCTTCATGTTGCCTCTGGAACCTACAGCCACTCGACTGCTGCTTTTAATCTAAGGAATTAGGCAGACTGGCCCCGTAGTCCCTGCAGAAAGCAGTGGCTGCCCGCTCTTCACGCCCCCTTAAAGTGGTTCCCCAGTCCAGGAAACATGCCATGCCTCTATCCTCTTTTCTGAAGGACAATCCCATGACAAAAGTGCACCACAGTCACTTGCAACACTGAATGTATATTTGGTGGTTGGTGGTAGTAAAAGTCAGAATACAACAATGTAAAAATGACAAGCCCTGCATTCAAACTCTTACTTAAGTAAAAGTACTCGTGCAGAAACTGTCTATCTGCTATATTTTCATATATGGCATTAGATTGTTAATACTACAACAATGTGCATGTTTCTCTTGTAGCTGGTCAAAGTGTAGTTAGGCCACAGCGTAAAAATACATAGACATCTGAAACTGACAAGGGGTCACAAGCTAAAGAGGCTGAAAACCACTGGTTTAATCTTCAACATTGCATTTTATTTTTATAAGCTTATCAAATGCTTTTTATTTAAAATCTTAATTTGAAAAATAACTACAGCTGTCAGTCAAGTAAAAGTGGTATATTACCCTCTGAAATGTAGAACTACAAAGTAGCATAAAAGGAAACACTTAAAAAAAAAGTACCCCAGATTTGTCCTAAGATAGGTGCTCGAGTAAATGTACGTTCTACTATTTCTAGTAGTAACAGGAAGAATTTGACTTGCGTAGCACCATCATCAGTCGTCTGTCACCATATCTGTGGAAACAAGCTCTTTCAGGAATAAGAAACAACCCCTGACACCCGTGCACAGGTTCCTATGGAAACCACAGTTAAACCCATTTGCAAAACAAGATTACCCCCTAGTGTCAGACTGTGTTTACAGCAGCCCAGCTCCTCCTCATTTCATTGACATTCCTCTGTTAGTTTATAAAATCCCAACTAGGAAGAGATAACCAGATGCTCCAGTTTTCTCCCAGTTTTATCATGTGTTGGAAACATGCACGTTAACACAGACCAGAGCTGTTTTTATGGAGGTCTGACTGGGGCATGAGTCCTCATCCCAGGGTGGGAGTGTTTTTGTTTAGTTAAACTCACTCACACCCCGGGCCTGTGTCCAGCAGTATGACAACACCATCTCCCAGGGTTAAAGGATGGAATGAGGCGGAGGAACGATGGTGGGCTGTAATGAATCCCCTGTTGGCAGTCTCTGCTCTCGTATTGTTTTAAGAGGAGTCAACTGTGTTCTTTGAAAATTATTTTCTGTTGTTGGAAATAGGGATTTTTGGGTAACAGCTGGGTCTGATCCCAGTGTCATTACTTTGACCTTTAACACAGTTTGATATCTTACTGTTAGATAGCACTGCCTTGGTGGATTAGATCAGTGATTCCCAATGAGGGATATTATTAATTAAAGGAATACATCAGCCACAAAATGATAATCTGTATATCAATTAATCAACCTGTGTTGTGCTGAATTTGTGAAAACATAATGTTTTTCCTGCATGCCTCCACAATGAACAAAGACTCCAAAAACATAAAATTTTTTGATAGATTAAATTTGATAACAGCAAGTAATTGATGATCATTTTGTGGGTGAAGTATTTAACTTAACTCAGCTAATTCAACTAAAACATTGCTGTTATATAGCCATATATTTTATGTTAATGACAAAAATAAACAATTCATAATTTTACAAATAAGTGTAATGAGCTTTAATACATTTACATTCACAACCTGAGTCGGTTTACAACTGGATGTGTGAAACCAGTTAAAAAGCAAACAGAAGTTGAAATAGTTATGGATAAACAGTTAAAATAAATAATGGATTTGAAATGGCTAGCTGAACGTAGGCTCATGGGTTACCCTAACCCTAACCCTAAGTTCAAATTATTTTGTTGCCAATGATGGCTAGGGGAGACCTTGAACTCACCTGGTAGAGCGTCCTTGCAGCAGTCCGGGTTTGATTCCAACCTGTGGCCATTTGCTCCATATCATCCCCCTTCTGTCTGCCCTCTTTCCAGTCTTTCTCAAACTGTCCTATAATACACACAATAAGCCCAAAAGAATATCTTTAAAAAAACGTAATGACTAGACAGATGACAGGTAGCTAAAAGTAATAAACTGTGGTTAGCCAAAATAATGAAGAACCCATTAAAATAATCAGCAAAATGTGAGGTAATGGATTAACCGTTAAAATAGTTACCTAACATTAAGTTAATGGATAAATGATTAAAATAGTTAGCTAAAGTAAGCCAAATAGATAAACAGCTAGTTAGCTAACACTGTCAGTCGTGGATACACAGTTAATAGTTACCTAAGTTAACAGTTAGCTAATTGATGAACAGTCAGTTAGCTAAGACGTTGTGGATAAACCATTAAAGTAGTTAGAAAAAGTAAGCTAATGGATAAACAGTTAAAATACTTAAGAAAAGGGTAAGCCTATAGACACACAGTTATTAAGCTAAAAGTAAGCTAATAGATACACAACTAGGTAGGCTACAAGTAATAGATAAAACAGTTAAAATAATTATCTTAAAATAAGCTTTTAGAAAAAACAGTTAAAATAGTTAATGTTACTTAAAGGTAAGCTAAGGGAAAAGCAGTTAAAATATTTAGCTAAAAATAACCTTCTGGATAATTTGTTAAAATTGCCAAGTGTATTGCTAGCTCAAAGTAAGCTAAGGAATAAATAGTTATCTAAAAATAAGCTAATGGATAAATTGTTAAAATAGCTAAAAGTAAGCTTATAGATAATTAGAATAGTTAGCTAAAAGTACACTAATGGATAAACAGTTAAAATAGTTAGGTATGTACGCTAATGGATGAACAGTTGAAATAGCTAAAAGTAAGCCTATAGATTTAAGCAATATCACATGAGAGGGAGTGATGTTGTACTGTGATATTGGCCGAGTGCCGAAGACAGTCACAGCTGTGATGATATCACAGTACAACATCACAAGCTCGAGTGTGATACTGCCTTTATACAACAGTTCAACAGTTTAATAAGCAAGGCTGATTAAGAAATGTTGAAAAATGAGGACAAAATAGATAATTTAAGCATTTTATTTGTCTTCCGCCAACAAAAATAGTTCCCTCAGGACTCCGCTGTCACCGTTGCTATGTAAAGCAGACATGGTGCGCCAGGCACTTACTCTTTACACACATTTATCTGCACGTTTCCATTAATTGTGCAGCCGGTGAAATAAGTCTCTGGTGACTGCATGGTGGACTGTCGCTTCACAGGCACAGCCTACTCTGCCTTCTGATCTGACAGTATGTTGCTTTTCTCCAAGTCATTGAGCTCCGCTGATGAAACACTGACAAACCTGGATGTGTGCTCAGATGGATTCAGCTTCTCCTCTCCCTCATCTTCCTCTGATGACCATTCATAGTTCAATTCAAAACTTATTTCAGGAAATAAATCCATATTTTTGGCTGTTTGACAGTGGATGAATTAATTAGCCTACAATGCAACTGCTGACCTAACTGACACTAACTGTCAGTTTTGATTTGATTGTTGATTGCAATCAGCTGTGAGGCAGAGTGATACATACACAGTGAAATAACCGTTGTACTCCAATATCATCACTACTGTCTCTCGACCAATCAGATTGCAGGGCCGGAACTAACTGTTGTATAAAAACAGTTAAAATATTTAGCTAAAAGTATATGGGGTGCCGTTTGTAAAGTGTCTCACGCTGAAAATAACATCAACATTTTGCCACATTTAGCTTCAAACAATGTTTAAAAAAGTATTGTGAATTTTTTAACGTCACCTTTTACCACATTTACAGCAATATTTGTTAACTTAGAAATATATTAAATAGTTAAATCTAAATATTAAATGTGGCACCTAAATGTTAAATGTTAAATCTAAATCTAAATATTAAATCTAAATCTAAATGCTAAATCTAAATCTAAATCTAAATGTTAAATCTAAATATTAAATCTAAATCTAAATATTAAATATAAATATAAATGTTAAATCTAAATATTAAATCTAAATCTAAATGCTAAATCTAAATCTAAATCTAAATGTTAAATATAAATATTAAATATAAATCTAAATGTTAAATCTAAATGCTAAATATAAATCTAAATGTTAAATGTTAAATTTAAATGTTCTGGGTGAAACTAAATATTTAGCTAATATGCAAATTCACACTGTTAAAAGCCTCCCGTTGTCGGATACGACATGAAACTACTCCAGTTAGCTCAATCATGTTGTAACTAAGACATCCGCTGGAAAAAAAAAATTTTTCACGGACCGTTTAGTCATTACAGACACCGCTAACGGGGCTAACAGCTAACGGTTAGCCCCGCTAATCTACGATAACCATGTTATTAATTTCAGAACGTGATAGTAATGTTTGTTCAATCATTGTGTTTATAGACTTCACAAACACCAGATTAGTCTAAACGGTGATATAGTGATGTGAAAAATGTGAGATATGCATATATATATGTAGCTAAAGAGCTAAACTCCGCTGGTTTTCTACCCGGAAGTATTTGTAAACAACAAGGTGATTCCCTCCGAAGGGACACTACAACTCAAAGTACATGTCAAATAAAATTTCTCCAAACACGTTTCTTGTTATTTTAGGTAGTTATTATCACGCTAATGTATGTTCAAGTGTCCATTTCCCCCGATAAGTTGGTTTTAATTCGTTATTTGATTCTATAAACACAGTCTGACCATCTCGAGCTTTTATTTTGGTACTTCCGGTGACCGGCAGTGTGAATTTGCATATTAGCTAAATATTTAGTTT